AATGGCTGGGTGTGTTTGAGGATAATGTTCCCGGGTAACAAGCTGTTCACCTCCAACAGATTTTCCCTTCAACCAATTTCTGGCATAAATTGCGTGTGATGCCAACCATCCCCAAATTGAAGGTCTATTGCTGGCTTTGCCACATTATTGTCATCGAAATCTAAGGGTACCCCTTTCAACAGAAGGGGCTTGCTAAGCCCCTAAAAATTGATGGGGATGCATTAAGACCCCAGAAAATATGCTTTGTTGATTGATGTATGAAAGTCATATCAGATAGGCTTCCAACAAACTTCGCAAACCATCTCAAATGGTTATGACAGTGCACGACCCATGTCTACGCATCCCCAAAATCAGTTAACAACAATTGGAACTTCAGCCGCATCAAAACTATGGATGTCACTACACCATAAAAAGGGTTGACGGGGGGGTAATAATCCCAAAACATAAGGCCTTGTTAGTTTGGGATCAGAGGTAACAGTAGATTCCATGAATAAAGTCAATGCGTCGTTCTTTTGGATTGCAACGCACTATGCAGAATGTGTTCTTGGATTCTTTCAATGATGTTAATCATAACCAATAAAAATGGTGACGTCAGCCGCATCAAAAACTGAGGGGTTCAAGGTTCACCTCTTGAGGATTGCTGGTCCCTGCCCCATGTTTCAATCACAAATCAGCAATCAGAAACCACCATAGCATCTTTTTTGTGTTTGCTATATCCGTCTCTAGTGGAAATTACACCAGCATGGGCCTGGGGATCATTTTTTTCAGATGGCGATTAGAGAAGCCACCAATCACTGAGACATTGAGGCTTTGATCATGGGATCCACCAGCCAAATGGTCTAACATCTCCATGGGTTCCCACACCTCGTCGTAGAAGATGCGATAGGCTTCCTCTAAAGCTTGCCTCAGAGCGTCGAGATCGGATTTATTAAAGGCGTTGTTCTCCTTGAGCCTCCAATAATGGTCTTTTCCCCGTGAATGCCAAGTTTTTCTGGACTGAACATTCTTGGAAAACTTCAAAATCTGGTGATTTTCATGATGTTCACCGTTACTATGGTGATTTTGGCGTATACCCACCACTTTGAAAATGATAACCATTAATCCCTTCCTTCGTGTTTAGTTGCCCCATTCGTTCGGCCCCAAAAATATATAAAATGGATCCAACACTGGGACAAGGATCAAGAGACGGATTGCTCTCAACACGGAGTACCCCATTCCGTTCCATGGTTTGGAACATCACTTTCCCTCATTCTTCGCCATGAATTGGGGCATAACGCAGTTGCCATTCCCAAGCCCCGCGCTCTACCGCTATGGGAGTGTTCATTCTGGTAACCCCAAAAAGGATAGGAAAAATGAAAGATAGATAAAGTGAATCTGTTAAATCCAATCTAAAAAATGGGTTGGCAATCCAATTCCAAAGTAATGCTAAAGTGATCTAAAGTGAATCTGTTCTGCACCTTTTTGGGTGTCCACTTCTGCCATCTCCACACATAAGTTGACGAACAAAAACCCTTCGAAGCATAGGTATATGATACATTATCCAGCATAAACACCGGTTATATTATAATATATCAATATATCACCCTACCCTTTGGTAATTTAACATAGCTATTGAAAATGTCACATTGATAGCTCCATAGTTATGTGAATTGACCGGTTGGTAGGCAAATAAACCAATGGAAATCCCAAAACCTGTTGGGCGAATCTAAGCTACCGCCGCCAGGCTGGAAATCCCTCCTGGCCGAGCTGGATCACTGCACTCCATGCCACTGTAGCCCATTGTAGCTACAAAAATTCATGGTTTCTGAGACTTAAAAATCATTCTTGGGATCCTAACCTTCTGTTAAACATGTTCAGCATGACCACCCTGCTGCATGGATGACACACACAAATCGAGAAGTGTGACTCAACTGTCATGAGACACAACATGTGTTTCCCGGCAATCACAGTGGCTCGTATTGCCTGTGCAAAAAGGTGCAACCCTGCCGTGCTCCGCAGTTTAGCATGGCAGCGGAGCCTCAATGGAGGCCTTGCTGGCGTTGGTGGGCGCTTGCGCTGGTGGTGGCGCTTGCAGCCGAACTTTCTGGAGAAGACCACATGCACCACCGCAAATTCGAGATGGCGGTGGATGGCATGACAGAAGCCTATAGGGATTGGAACCCTGAACCACGCCATAGTGAGCCCAATGAATCGATGGTGACCAACTATGCCCTGGACTTCGAAGCAAGCTTGGGTTTGGCGCCTCGCTTTTATGACAGTGGCTTTGCAGGTGGAGCTTTGGAGATCTACAAGGAGGCCAACGTTTTCCTGGAATCTTGTGGATGCTCTTGGAAAGGCATGTGTTGTGAGATGAGAAAAAGGTGGATGGGAACCACTGGAATGAGGATTGGAGCCTCTTTAGACCTTGCATGGAGGATTGGAACCTCAACGGAATTGGTCATGAGGATTGGTGCCTCGAGCCTTGGTGAACAGCTGCAATCAATGCCTGTGTCTTTGACTTTATGGAGGAGCAGCTGCCTAGCACGAGCTTGGTCTTCTATGTGGACACGCCTTTGCATAGCACGATCTTGGTCTTCTACGTGGACAAGCCCCTGCATTGCACGATCTTGGACTTCTATGTGGACGCGCCTTTGGTGTGCATGTGCTTGGACTCTTACCTGGACACGCCCCTGGATAGCACTTGCTTGGACTTCTACCTGTGCCACCTGTTCTCAGTGTTTGACATGGTTGTCCTGCTGGCCTATGACATCATGCGCAGCGTTTGGTGGCATCCTCATTGTCTTCATGGTGAACAAGTACAACAAGATGGTGAGGAGGCAACGTTTGAAAAGATTGAGCCGCTTGAGCCAGTGCGGAGGTCCTTACAGAAGAACCTTTAGATGGAATGGCAATCTGTCTTCAAGGTGGACTTCCTACATCAGGATGAAGGGCATGGTTTTCCTGGTGATGTACACGCAGTGTGCGGCTATGGATGCAGCTCAAGCTCAAGATCTTCTTGGAAGGATTATGGAGCTATCAACAGCAGCAACTACGGCGGCTACTACGGCAAATCAGATGCTGGAAGCTTTCAACTCTGGTGGAGGCAGAGGAGCCCCAAGGTTTGGTGATGGTGCCAAGCTACTTCGAACACCCGAGGTTTTCAACACAGACGACCCTGTGAAGTACACTGGCTGGCGTGAGCAATTTCTCAACTGGCTCACCTTCTGTGATGGGAGGTACTCTGACCCGATCAAGGACGTCGAGCAGCTGGAAACTATGACAGAGATGTCAACCTTGGAGGAACCTGTGAAGGAGCTGGCGATGAAGCTGTACTCCATCTTGTCCTCCTACTTGCAAGGGCCTGCACTCCAGATTGTCAGGGCCCACTCTTCTGAGAGAAATGGATTTGCAGTCTGGCATCGGCTGAAACAGCTGTACGCCCCACGTGCCAGACCGAGGGCATTGGCCATTGGACAGGCCATCATGCAACATCCAACTTTCTCCCCGCAGAGGTCTATGTTGGAAAACCTGCTGCAGTTTGACATGCTCTTGAACCAGTATGAACTTGCAGCTGGACACAGAATGCCTGACGACCTCACTGTCAGTACGGTCTCGCGCTGCCTGGATGGTGCCACACGCAGGCACTTGGGGATGATCATGGATGAGGGTATGGATTATTCAGCCCTGAAGGACAAGCTGATCCTCTTGGATAAGAACACAAAGGCTTGGTCAGGTGACAACTTCCTCAAGAACCTCCAGGTCTTCAACCAGCCTACATCGAGCTCTTCTACCTACCAAGGACCTGCACCGATGGAAGTGGATCAGGTGCAGTATGGGCACAAAGGGAAGAGCAAAGGAAAGGGAAAATCGAAAGGAAAGAAGGGAAGCTGGTTTGGTTTTCCATACGGTGGCAAATCTGGAGGGAACCAGAAAGGATACAAGGGCAAATCAAAACACAAGGGCAAGAAAGGAGGCAAAGGAAAGAACAAGGGAAAGCATCAAAAGGAAAAGGATATGGTGGTGGAAACAACAGTAACACCTGCAGACTTTGCGGTGAATATGGCCACTGGGGAAATGAATGTCCTCTCAAGAACCGGGTGAACCAAGCTGCTGGTTCTGGCAATGCTTCTGCTGAAGCTCAAGGAGTTTCCAATGACGCTACAAGCACAACTGGGTCAGCGTCAACAAGGAGGACTAGTACCAGTTCTGCAACTTCCAGTTCTTTGTCTTCTGCATCAAAGGCTGTGAGGTTGGTGAAAATGTATCACGTGGCCACACCACCTGCTGAACAACCTGAAATCTATGAGATGAGAAGTGATGGAGAAGGAGATGGTTGTGATGAATGGTATGTCAGAATGGTAGCTGACACTACAACCTGGTGGTTCAGAATCGATGCTGGTGACGATGATCAACCTGGTGAAGTTTGTTGGTCTGGTGACCCTCTCATGGATTGGTACCATGGACTTCCCAGCACTTTGGATCGGTGCCAAGGTGCCAATGAGGAGGACGAGATCTTCCACGTTCGAGCTGTCCCAGCTGGTCAATTGGTTGTTCTGGACTCTGGAGCTGACATCAGCCTCTTGCCCTACCACATGAGTGGATGTGGTACTCCACGACCTGGTGGTCGAACTATCTTGGAAGATGCCCAAGGTGAACGCCTTCAGACCTATGGCAAAAGGTCTGCACGGGTGGAATGTGAAGGTCTCAACAATGACCTGGTGGTGATCGAGGATGACTTCATCGTGGCATCAGTGCAAAGCCCCCTGATTTCTTTAGGGAGGTTGATACATCGTGGATGGAGCCTTGCACCCAGTGAACATGCCAATGCAAGGGTGACTTTGGTAGCTCCTGATGGTGAAGCTATGGCGCCACTTCAATTCAAACGCAACTCTCTGGCCGTGTGCGCTAGCATCAGAGTGGTTCAGGATGTTTCTGGAGCTTCCTCAACTACGACAATTCCCAGAACACCCAAACCACTGACTGAGCTCAAGATGGAGAAGGTGATTGAAGAGGAGAATGATCTGATGGCAATTCAGACGGTGATCAAGCCCAACGATGAGCTTCTCAGGCGTATCTTCAGGAGAGGATGGGCAACATCAAGCAATGGAAACCCTTTCATCATCATGCCTGAGTCCAAGAATTACCTCAACCCTCACTTGGTCTACTCTCGCGCTGAATGGCCCCTACGCTCAACTGCAATCCAATTGGAGGACTACTCATGGGAGATGGTGGAGTTTTGCAATCAATACTACATCTCTGACTATGTGGACGCAGAGATTGAGGAGTGTGACAAGCCCACCTTTGTCCTCACCATGTTGCACAAACAAGAGGAACCCTTCACGGTCTTTGGACAAGTTGGAGCGCAAGAGATGGTTGAAGCTGGAGGATCAAATGGTGATCCCAACTTTTTCATGTTCCCCGAGGAGCCCAAGGTCCCGATGGAGATGGCCGAGCACTTCAAACCTGAAGAAGTTGACCAAGTTGATCCACGTGGAGCTGGTGGTGAATCTGCCCCTTCCTTTGAGTGGCAGTTCGAAAACAAGGACACCTTGGTGGTGAACGATGAGCCTGTGACCATCAACAGCAGCATTGGTTTCTTGCGTGCAGCTGCTGAGTATCTTGGAGTCTCCAAGAATGTCAACAAGGAGATGATTTGGACGAGGCTGAACCAGAAGGTTCAAACCCTGGAGCATGAACAACTCTTCCTTGACTCCAACCGTTTGTACCGGGATGAGCAGTGGAAACAAGGTCTGGTGGGACAATCTGTACCCAGAACTCCTTCAGAAGAGGAGGTGGCATTGCATGAGCTTTCACATTTGCCCTATCGGGATTGGTGCCCCCACTGTGTGAAACAAGACCCACAACGTCCTGTTGAGTTTTCCACTGATGATCGACGCTCAATCCCCAGCATCGAGATCGACTACTGCTTTTCCAAGGTTGAGGAGAGTGATCCTGTTTCAACAGTCTTGGTGGCAATTGATTGCCAAAGCAAGATGCTGTTTGCCATGCCTCTTGCTTCAAAAGGGTCCAACCTTCGAGGTCAAGCTGAAAGCCTGGTGCGGTTCTCAATGGCTCTGAACTACATGGACCAGGTTGAGTTTGTCAGTGACGCTGAACCAACAATGAAGTCACTGCTGGCAAGTGTTCAACTTCTACGGCAACACTTGGGCTATCCCACAACTGTGACTCACTCTCGACCAGGAGACAAAGGACGCACTGCCCAAGTTGAACGAGCCATACAGACCCTTCGAAAACAAAGCAGCACTTTGGTTCAAATGGCAAGTGACAAATGCTCTTTGCGTTTGCCAAGTGACCACGCAATATGGCCTTGGTCCTTTGTGCATGGAGCATGGCTGCTGAACAGGTTCCACAACCATTCAACTACAAAGACCTCAGCCTTTGAGTTGGTGAATGGAAGGCGATATGCTGGAAAGATTGCCTCATTTGGTGAGGTTGTGTTGGTTCTACATCGACGAGGACCCAACACCAAAGCCGGTCCTCAATGGGTACCTGGAGTGTGGTTGACCAAAACTGATGGAGATGATTTACATGTGGTGGCCACGCCTGAAGGCTTGCTGAAGGGCAAAGCCATCAGAAGGCTTACCGACCCCTGGAGACCCACATGGCTTTTCATGGTTCAGGAGAAACCCTTTCAGAAGCTCACCAGAAAGGCAACTCTCAAGAATCTTCGATTTGGTGCACCTCCCACTCCAAAACCTGTGGCAGAACGACAAGAAAAGCTTCCTTATGAAGCCATCGACTATGACGCCAAGGATGTGATTGAGTATGCCAGGACGCACCCACCTAGTCCTGTGAGTGATGCTGGAATGCCTGAGACGGAGGAGAACAAGCGCAGTCATGAAGGTGAAGGTTTTCCCCCCAGAAGTCAGCCAAGTTGGAGGTGACTGCAACTGGTGGAGAAGAGGCTGTCTTGGATGACAGCAATGTCAAAGAGCCCGAAACAAAAGCTCTAAAAACAAGTCCTGAAGGTAGTCCCTCATCTTCAAGCCGTCTCTTTGCCCCTCACTATGCTGGAAACATCCAACATGTCATGGAGATTGGAGAAGTGGATGACGAGCAATGGGAAGAAGATGTGGCTGGATACATCGAGCCCGAGTGGATAGCTCTTGGTGGTGAAGATGGAGATGAAGATCATATTGATGAAGGTCGACCTCCTGAAGTTGACCCCGACGAGCTGGCGCAGCTGGATGAGGAAGCAGGCTTCAAAGAGATCAGAAGGCTCTTGGAAATGAAAGTAATTGAAAAGCCCTCAGCTGAGGATTTGGAGCTGGGCGTAGTTCTCTCCACGAGGAGTGTCATGGATTGGCGCTTTCGCAACCAGAAATGGCAACGACGATGCAGGTATGTTGCCCGAGAATTCCGAGCTGGAGACAAAGGGTCAGCAGCAACCTTTGCACCTACTTCAGGTGTTGGTGCCCGGTTGGTTCTTGTGGCACATTGTTGCTTTCAGTGGCTGCTGGCATTCCTGGACATCAAGGACGCGTTCCTCCTGGTTCCCCAGCGTGAGAAGATTCTGGTGGAGAAGCCCTCTTGGTGGTCTGATGGATCAGGCACACGGTATTGGTCCCTCAGCAAATGCCTGCCTGGACAGAGAAATGCTGCTGCACGTTTCTTCGATTTCCTTTGCGAGCATCTACAAGCTCTTGGGATGGAAAACACGCCATTATTGCCAAGCCTGTTTAGGCACAAGGAAAAGAAGCTAGTCCTATGCTCACATGTGGATGACCTGGTGGTTGGAGGTGAGCGAGAAGCAGTACAATGGCTTGTGGCAGCATTGAAATCAAAATTGACCTTGCAGGGCGGTGACCTCATACCTGCGGAAGATCAAGATGATCAAGACCCAGTAAGGTTTCTCAAAAGACGACACTACTTCACGCAGGCGGGGGTCATCATCAGCCCGCACGAGAAATATGCTGATGAATTGGTGCAGCTCTATGGCCTACAACATCGCAAGCAAAAGACGACTCCTGATGTGAGTGGGGAAATCTATGAGTCTGAAGAGCTGGATGAGCAGGGCAAGCACCGGTTTAGATCAGCCATGGGTACACTCTTGTACCCCAGCCAGGATCGGGTAGATCTACAGCACTCGGTCCGACATCTCAGCCAATACATGTCAAGACCGACAGTGGCAGCCGACGCAGCTGTGAGGCATGTGATCCTCTACCTCAAGGGCACAGCCAATTATGGCGTACTGCTGGGCTACAATCTTTCCAACAAGAGCAAGCTCAGTGAAATCCATGGAGCAGCAGACCCTGAGGAGAGAGTCAAAGACTTGGTAGAAGCCTTCACTGATGCAGACTGGGCTGGCGACAAGTCTACAGGAGTTCGAAGGGGGCACTCTGTCTCTTCAGCTATGGTCTTCGTGAATGGTCGCCTGGTTACAGCCTGGTCAAGGACACAGAAAAGCATAGCCCTGAGCAGCTGTGAATCAGAGTATTTGGCAAGCGTTGGTGGTGGCTCAGAAGCTCTCTACATAGCAGCCCTTTGGGAGTTTCTCACCAAACGAGAGACTGAGGCCCGGATCATTTCAGATTCTTCATCATGCCGAGCCTTTTCCCAGAGGCAGGGCGTTGGACGCTTGAAGCACATCAACGTGAAGTACCTTTGGCTACAGCAGAAGATCAAGGAGTGTGCGTTGCAAATGGATGGAGTCCCCACGGTGTTGAACGTCGCGGACTTGGGGACGAAGCGACTGGCAAAAGCTCGCCGCGATTTTCTGATGTTTCTCATTGGCTTGGTGGAGTATGACAAGAACTCAAAAGCCTATGTCCCTGTGGGAGAAGATGCCTTCAACGCTTACCTGCAGAAGAAAGCAATTGGAAAGACAATGAAATCAGTGAGACAGGTGATGTTGAAATCCCTGATGGATGGCGTGGAGGACTTGCCCATCAAGATCTCGAAACCTATGGTCAAGGCAGTGACCATCATGGCATTGCAGCCTTTGGTGTCTGGTGCGCGCTTGGAGGAGATCAACTATGACTTCGTGGTGCGGCACTACACCATTGCCGAGTTCTTCCTCGAGCGGCCTTTGCTCATGGTTCTCTATGCGCTGGTCTTCATGATGACGGGCATCATCATTGGGTACTACATCAAAGAGAAGATCCACAAGATTCAGCTTTCAAAAGTTCTTTCTTGGGCCAAAGGAGTGATCAGCGAGAAGAAGGAGATCACCTATGTGGACGACTGGGATCCTGTCAACATGGAGCTGAGACAGTATCGAGTCCTGCAGTCACCTGACGATGCGATGTCAGGTGAGGAATATTTCCGCGAATGCCCTGGCGGATTGGCCCGATTCGTCAAGCTGGATCGGAAAAGACGCAGAAAGTATGGGATCGATGAGACAGATCCGCTGAATGCCTATGACCTGACGTCTGGCGAAGAAGCTGAGGAGGAAGAAATGCAGGTGGACGAAGCTTTGCCTGCGGTTGCATTAGCATCCGCACAGATGGCCCATGCCGAGCTCTACGGCGCTGACAGCGTTGGTGGCGGAACAGGTGCTTCGGCGAATGCTGCGGCAGCAGCGAGGTCGGATAGCAATACCAGGGAGTATCTGAGCAGCCTTCCTGGGAGCCCGAGATCCGAATCGCCGACTTTGCCGACGATTGGTGTCGACCGGGAAAGCCTTGAAGTTCTGATGGAGCACGTCCCGGCCAACCAACGTGAGAGAGCACGCCGTGTACAGGAGGTAGGATTGTTTAATCACCGTATTCTAAAGGAATACCTCCAAGTTCACCTCATGTCCATTTTTCCTGGCCAACCTGATCTGACATGGGATCACGAGACCTGGTGGACTCAAAGCGAACGTAGGAACTTTGACACGTTCAAAGACATCGTGGCCTATGGGATGTATCAACTGAACTGGGGATCATTTGTGGAGCAATGGTTTGTTCAACAGGAGTTTGAAAACAACAGACCAAATGACATCCCATGGGACTCCGATTAGAAGCAGAACAAAGTTCCAATGCGCAGGAACTTATTGAAACTTTGAGGCGGGGTGTTAAACATGTTCAGCATGACCACCCTGCTGCATGGATGACACACACAAATCGAGAAGTGTGAATCAACTGTCATGAGACACAACATGTGTTTCCCGGCAATCACAGTGGCTCGAATAGCCTGTGCAAAAAGGTGCAACCCTGCCGCGCTCCGCAGTTTAGCACTTCAGCAATACCCTAGTTTCCCTTCAGAAGCGCCTCACATTTCTGGAAGATTCACACAAGGGGATGGGTCAACACGTGTAATCCACATGTTACGTTGGTCAAACTCTCATTTGTCAAGCACTTTGCTTCAGAGACTTCCATGTCTTATGTTCATCTCTTGCATCGCTCATGCTTATTGCTTACCAACCATGTCCTTCTGGGACAAATAGAAGACCTCCGTCTCCAACTCTAAAAAAAACACGTCCCGAAAGCATTTTCGGCTGTGATTCACCCCCATCACCCAATCAGGAAATTGAGACATCAACCAGTAGACAATTTAGATAAATTATACAAACCAGTATGAGATTCAGACATGATAAGTTAATCATTTGGATATTCCTCTTCTGTAATGGCGTTTTCAGCATACTGTATTTTCAAGTTTCAGCTGGGGTTAACCTAGTTATACCCAAGTAGACTGATAAACCTACAAAAGACCGTTAAGCACCTGCTGCTCACACTTTTGTCTGAGCCGCAATAGCTATTGTCAATGCTATTATACATGTATATTTTACATGGGATGCAAATACACCCCCCTCAGGTGAGCCGGACACGGCAAGGCTGCCCACTTACCAGGGCGAGGTTATTAAACCTGCCTTACCGAGCCAGCTCTTTGCAGACCTGAGGAAAACATTCAAAAGTACAGGCGGCTTTGTACAATCGATCATCAATGCAAGCAGCTTCACAATTTAACCCTCTTCCCATTCGACTCGGCCATGCCTGATCACCTTTTGGTACCAGCACCCGTGCCACTTCTGCCATTCACCTGTGTAACGGCGGTCTTCTTGGGACTGACTTTGCTGAGGGCGATTGATCCACTGACTTGCAGACGTAGATGATGAGGCTACTTCTACACTCGATGATGGTCGGGCAACCGGATTGGTGGTGCCTTTCTTTGAGGGTCCTTGGCCATAAGCCCCAGTCTGTTCGGCCTTGCGCTTTGCTTCATTCTGTTCACGTGCACGATCAGACTGCTTCTTTTTCTCTTCAGCATTGTGCTTGTAGAGCTCTTCATTTTGACCCTTTGATCCATTTCAGATGTCGCTCAGCGTCATGGACTGCAATGTTGTCGACGCCTGTGCATGAGAGCAACAAGTTGTGCTCTGGGTTGCGCTTCAAATAATCGATGTATTCTTCCTCGGAATAAACCTCAGTCCTGCACATATAAATCCACGGCTGATCAATGTATCTGACAGAACTGGGAACATCCTTGCGGCTAGGGAAATCCAAGTAAACCAGCCTCACTGCGTCGTGTTCCAACTGGGATTGCTCGGAAATTCCCATCTTCACCTGAGCTTTTGTTCTGCTCGGCTTCGGCAAATGAGCGGCTCTCAGAAGGTCATAACGTTGACAATCGTATTCGTTTTCCCCTTCGTTCAACACGCTCTCTGCGAATGTGGCGTCTTGTGTGAACCTCTCAGCTACACTCAGATAACCCAAGCTCAAGGCCCGATCAAATCTGCTCTTTGCCCGCTTCAACAAATCAGCTTCTCGGCTAGAGCTCCCCCTTGCCTGGTCATCCAATAATCCAAGAGACTCCAGTTGATTGTGGGTGATGCTCTGCAGGTACTCACCACGATAGCCGTAGTACAAGCCCAGCTTGTGAAGGGCGGCCTTTCTCCTTTCAGCAATCTTCATACGATCGGCCTTGTTCACCCCTTCGAGCATCAAACCACAAACGTCACATTCAATTTGCCCTTTGAAAGTCTGTGCAAAACATCGCTCACATTGTTTGACTTCGATCTTGATTGACACCGGCTTGCCTTCATCTTTCTTCGAAGGTTGGTCATCGCCTTTAGGGCGAGACTTCTGCTTTGGCACCAATGACTTGGAAGTTGATGCTGGCGTCGTTGAAGGCGATCCTGCAACAGGATCTTTTGGTTCTTTCGGCACTGCTTTGGGCGGTGCAATCTTTGACACTGGCTCCAAGAAGGCCGCAGCCGATGATGCCACAGGCACAGCTGCGGGCAAGCTCGCGAGAGCTGCCTTCTTCTTTGCAGGTTCCCCTTCTTTTGCCGTATCAGCTTCTGAGGCCACAGCTTTTGGAACTTCAGGTGCACGAGGAGCAGAAGTCCCTTCCTTCGATGGCGTCTTTGGCGGCATCTTTGGGCTTTCAACCTTTGCTGCTGGTGGTTTCGGCGCTTCACCTTTTGGAGGGGGCGGCAACAGTCTGCTGCTAGCATATCCAGGCATTCCTGCAAGCTGAGCCACATTGGGTGGCGGAGGCTTCACTTTGCCTGGGAAAAATGCCGTTGCAGTGGGCGCGCCAGTTGAGGCGGCCGGAGATGCTGATCCAGTTCGAGACCCTGCCTTCTTCTCAAAGGACTTGACAATCTCCTGGACACCAATCTCCCCACCACTGCTGTGCGCAGCCTGAGCCGTATCCTCATGGCGACGATACAAATTCACCTTCTTTTCGGTGTCGTCGATGGAAATGATGTACTGTGAGGGCACAACATCGCTCGTGAGAATGCCATCTGAAGCAGTGCGGAAAAAGATCACACCCGCCTTGACTGCTTCGGCCATTGCAACACGGATTTCGATGGGCCGCTCGGCACGGAGGCCGCTAATACTCTTCTCATCCACACGCACCTCACTGAAGTACGAATGCGCCCTCCCAGATGAGATGCGCTCGCCACCTCCAGCCAAAAACCCATGTTCGAGAATCCCTTTCCAGTTCCCCTTGGTGGTACGATGATAAACCACCCCTGGACAAAGCTGCGGCGTCGTGATCTTCTTGCCCTTGGCATTCATCTTCTGAATGGCGGCAGCACCTGAAAGTGCGAAGATCTCGACCGCGTTGAAGGCATCATCAGCGGATGCAGCTTCCATTGCACGCTTTGTGTGACCCTGCACTGCTCAGATTCTGAAAGGCCAGTAGGCTAACCCTTTACGGGTTGCCTTCTGGTGCCCGGCAATGCACTGAAATTCAAAGCGGCGTTTGTTGTCCCAGTAAAGAAGTGCAATCAACTCCTCCACCGTCATGGGGTTCACCTTGGCTGGAAGCATCAGGTTGAACATTCGAAAGAAATCATCGAGGTCAAGCCACATGTTTTCATCAAAAGCAGTTGCATCCTGACCCGGTTGGCCACGGGTCACGGCATTGACCTTGGTCTTGTGTCGGTCCATGCGATCTGGGTACCTCAGCTGTTTGGCCCTTCCATTTCCCAGCATGTTTTGGTGATAAGTTTATAAGAATGACCATCTACCACACAGTGCTCGACCACCTCAGCGTTGATGCTCTCATCCAGCATGATCCTGTATTTTTCAACATGGCCTTTCGCATGCTTTGGTACGATCGTGCCTTTGAGCTCATTCTCCTGGGTGGGCTCACCAGTTGAGGTGGCCTTAGTCGAGTCTTCTTCTGCTGGCGGAGCTTTTGCAGAGGCATCTGGAGGAGCAGCATGACTTGCCTTTGCCTTTCCCACTGATGGACCTTCGTACTCGTTGGCATCAAGTGCATCCCAGGGGTCACCTTCTTCATCGTCATCATCCTCGGCGACACCTGCATCAGTTGGACGAGCACGCAACTCCTCTGCCGTCAAGCTTTCAGGCAATGACATGCTCGGCATCGACCTGTTGGTCTTTTCGCGGAGAGCCGTCAACACTTGCACAAACTTGACTGGAAGATGTTCCATCTTGGGCGACACATCACGCATGGTTGCTTCTCCAGCAGGGCGTTTTCTTTTGAACATGGAAAGCTGATACTGAGGTGTGATGATGTCTGTCATGTGTAACATGTGAAGTGTTGCCATGACATAGCCAATCATTTCATTCCTGTTGAGCTCGGTCTCGAATGCGTGAAAGTAGTCCCTGAGCTCAAGCCTCGGTGGAAGCTTGTCATTCTGGATCCACCGGATCCGATCATTGTCCTCAGCAATCTCAGCGTGGAACCATGCCTTCAGGCGATCCATAAACGTGGTAAAGATTAAGCTCAAACCGTAGGTCAAAGGGTCGGGCTCGCTGATTAGGGCGGCCTGATCAACCCCCAATTCCTTCAGTTGCTTGTTCCACCACACAAGATTGCCCTTGACCCTGTCCATGATGGCATTCCAATCACCCTGAGGTTCCCTTTGTCCCCAAATCGGAAGGGGTTCAACACCATGTTCCCCGCAAACTTCGTTCCCAGACCAAACAATCACAGAAATGACTCGAATAGCTGATCCATGAGAAGCAAACTTCGACATCAAATCCTTGATCATGGAAATATTTGCTTTGCAGAGCTGTTGTAAATCCTTACCCCAGAGCATGTCATGACCGATTTCGAGAACCATGTCAGATTTTCGCAATGCCAGGTCCTCCTTCAAGGTGTACTTCTTCAAAGTCCTACCCTTTCCAGTGATCAATGCCAGCGCAGAGTCAGATGTCACCACATAGATCGTGGGCACGACGTCTATCGCCGGACTTGATGTCCCAGGGACGTACTCGGTGGGCAAATTCAACTCCCAGAGCGAGTCTTGCTCAAGCTCGGACAAATGGCGGAGTTCCTTTGCCCATGGCACACCTGTCAGGGAGTCCGTTGACATGGACTGCGCAGTGAAGCACTGCATTAATCCTGCAGCCAACTCAAGGTCTTCAATCCTGTTGCCAGATGACAGAATCGTCGACGATGCGAGGACCGTTGAAAAGATGTCCTCCCACCCTGCGTGCCTATCCCCCTGAACATCAAGACACTTTCGAAAAGCAAGCCATTCCGACATGTTGCTTTGTTGGGGCACGGTTTCTAAACCGGCCGACTTGAGAGCTC